GGAGGGGTGTGTGTGTAAGGGAGGGGGTGTGTGTAGGGGAGGGGGGTGTTTTTGGGGGAGGATGTGTGTAGGGGATTGTGGAGAACAATCGCTGTCACACTTTTCTATCAGTCCGGGTTATGATTATGATTCTAAATTGTTGTCTTAGCTCCTGTGGTACTTGATTGTCAGAGTGATAAATAGTTCATGTTGTGTTGCATTACATCATGTTTGCCAGTGAATTATTATGATTTTGTAAGTGATCCATCCTACTTTCCCCACAGGTACATGCTTCCAAACGAACCCCATCTTTTGCTATCTATTAATAACTTGTCCAACTGTTCCTCTTCATTGACATTTACTTCTGATTATTCTATCTCTTATAAAGGGATTCCTCTCAAGCTTCCTACCTTTACCCTATTGCCCAAAGTTCTTCACTTTCCAAGTCATGGAAGTCAGTTAGCTGCCTTCTTTATTATTAACTGTAACATTTTCAGTATTGTCAGTATTTAGAATAGTGCACCTTTAAACAATTTATGGGGAGTTACTCTATTTATGTAGCATTTCAGAACATCCAGAAATGTTTCAATCTTAACTATGAAGCCAACAACAACAACTTGCATTTATATAGCACCCCTCACACAGGGTAGCAGTGGCCCAGAGTGTCTGAAAGCCATTTTCAGTAGCTCTTAAAAGAACTTCCAGAAACGTGCCTTCCAAACTAATGCTGAATTTATGAATTTGCCTGCTTCCACACAGAGCCTAATAATAATCCCTCCAAAACCAAAAACAATAATAAATTGGTCATTTTCAATCTACGACTGTCTGTGGGACATTGCTGTGCGCAATTGGCTGCCGCGTTCGCCCACAAATATACAGTCAATTCACTTTACAGTGTGTTCTGTGAAGCGCTTTGGGACGTCCTCCCGACGTGAAAAGCGCTATATCAAATGCAAGGATTATTATTATTATTATTATTATTATTCTGAATGCTCTAAAATGGTTCCTGAATAAAATAATTATAGACCCAGAAAGAAGTTCAAATCTTTAATTTCTTATGACCTTCCACCAAAGTTATGCTCGTAACTAGCTCGTTTTCAGTTAGATCAATTTATCTCTATTGCCCTTATTGGTTCATCCTTAAACTCTTTTTCAGAGACACGCAGAGAGGCTATCAAGCCTCTTGCAGTTTGTTCCTTCTCCACATCACTGATCTCCTCCACTCTTTTGTTGAAGATTCCACTAGGCATTCACTTAATTTAATTTAAATTATGAGATCCACGATCATAGTCTAATGGAAGGCACTGGCCTTATAGGCAGAATAATATTTTCAATTTTTTCCATATAGATTTTGAAAAATGATGCAGGCTATTTACTGCAATATACACAAGGTATATCTTTAGTTAAAATAAACAGTTACCTTCAGTAAAAGAAAATATCTCCCTTACCATAATAAGTGAGATACTCTGCCAAATGTAAGAATGTCACTGAAACAAGGACATTAAAAATCCAATTGACTCCAGCAGAACAAGCATTTCCTGTACTTCGAGCCCACAGTGGATATATTTCAGAATTTATTGTCCAAGGCATAGGGCCCATTCCTAAAAAAAAAACAATGTTATTAGTATAATAAGCAGTAATAAGCTTGGTGCTTTTCTAAATTGTTGATTTTTCAAAAGCTACAATAATAACATTCAAGTTCTTAACATTCTTCCATGAATGCTACTGGCTGTCAAGGACTTGGAATGCATTACACACAAATTATGACCAAAAACAATATAAACCTACCGTGATATTGAAAAATGTGTACATAATACACCAGGGAGGGATTAAAGGCTGGAATCGTATTAAGGTACTGAATTTTTCTATGGTTGAAAGCTTTCCAACATGACCACATTTGCATCTTTTTGCGTAAACAATTCATTCAATGTTACACACATTACCATTGGCAATGTGTGAGTATAATGGGAAATCTTATTAAAAATCCACAAAATAACTTAATGCAACTTTTTTTTAACATTGACTGTAATACAGTCAAACATCAACATATGTAAAAAAAATTACCAGGTGCAAAAAAGATTAGGTACATAATAAGACCTAGAAATGCCATCCAGGAATATATTGTAGGGCAAAAGTTGTACGCCCAAAATAATCCTTCTTTATTAAGTTCGGTTTCATTACTGCACCTATAAGAAATAAAACACATTGCATTAATCATGAAATTCACATAATCAAACCTGATTGGCAAAAACTATAGTAATAACATAAGAAAGGAATATTCTAAATATAAATTTGAAAATCAGAACAAATGCCTTTTTTAATAACCTCCCCCCCACCCAAAGCCTGTTGAATATCTGTTGAATACTAAGATTTTAAAATATTCCTTGATTTGAGCAACTCGCATCCCAACATCAGATTTATTTTTTTTGATAACGCCACTATTTTTCCTGTAACATCTTGTGGGGTAATTATTCCAAATAATTCTATGACTCCTTAAGTAACAATCTTTCCCTGAAATTGTCCAAGTTGACATCACTGTAATTTATTGTGATTGGTATTTTGTATACAATCCACTGGTCCATGCCATTCACCCATTTATAAGAGATTTGGTTGAGTGTATAGTAATAATAATAATAATAATAATCCTTGCATTTGATATAGCGCTTTTCACGTCGGGAGGACGTCCCAAAGCGCTTCACAGAATAGACTGTAAAGTTAATTGACTGTATATTTGTGGGCGAACGCGGCAGCCAATTGCGCACAGCAATGTCCCACAAACAGTCGTAGATTGAAAATGACCAATTTATTATTGTTTTTGGTTTTGGAGGGATTATTATTAGGCTCTGTGTGGAGTAAGGAAACTTGCCCAAGGTTTTGCCCTCTGCCTGGAATTGAACTCAGGTCTCTCACTTGCAAAGCGAGTGCTCTAACCACTGAGCTACAGGACTCCACAGTATCCACACTTCTGATTGTACAAGGCCTTACTGTTCACAAGCCATCTCAAGAGTACAGATTAAAACAAATTTAGACCATAAGGGCACGAAAATACGCTTACTGAATCAGATGAGATGCAGTTGGAGGAGAAACAGTACTTTTTTTTAAATATAAAAAAGCCACCCTTCTGTCTTCCCTCAGCCTCTATTCCAAATACCTCTTTAATGTTAGGTCACTTCAACCTCCACTTCAACCTTTTTTGCTCCACCACTCCTCAACCTCACCCTCCCCATTAACTCTGCCACCCACCACCACTGGCACCCCCTCAACCTGGTGATTACCTGAGGCCTTACCATCTCATTAATTACCATCACCAATAAGCCATCTTACACCATCTCACTTAACTCCACCATCCTAGTTCCTACCACTCAATTCCATCACTGTTCATCTTGGAAAAATATCACCAATCCTTCTCCGCTGCTCTCAAGTCTAACCTTTTGCCTCTCTGGCTTTCCTCCCTCAATTACCTTACGTCCTCATCACCCTCCTTCACAACTCCATCTCGAACACCATCAATATCCTTGCCCTCATCACCTCCCGCAACACCTCCTCCTCCTGCAAATCCCCCTGGTACACCAGTCACCTCCGTTCCCTCAAGTTGCAGATGGTTGCCGTTGAACTCCCCTGGCTTAAATCAAATCCAACCCAACAGCCCACCACAAGATTTGGCTGGAGCACACAAAAAACTCCCCCCACCCCCACTATCAGACAATGTCAACCTTTCTTTGTCCACTGGCACAGTTCCCCTTAATCACTCCCCTCCTCAACAAAATCTCCCCTCAACCCATTATTATTATTATTATTATTATTATTATTATTTTACCTCCTCGGTCACCCTCCTTCACAATTCCCTCTCAAATATGGTCAACATCCTTGTCCTCCAACTTCACTTTCCTCTCCAAGGTACTGGTATGAGTCGTTGTTTCCCAGTTTCACACTTTCCTCTCCCTGCACTCCCTGCATAAACCATTCCAATCTGGATTCTGACTGCTCGCAGTACCAAGACTGCCCTAGTCAAAATCACAAATTACATTCTCTCCATCTGTGACCAGACAGGACTCTCTGCCTCCTTCATTGTCCGTCTTGACTTTCTCTACCCTCGATTCCAGAACCACTGCTGTTCTGACCGATTGCCTGTCGGACTTCAAGTTTTGGATGAAAGCTAACTTTTTCTTGTTGAATGTCGACAAGACAGAAGCTCTCCTGCTTGGCTCTTGTCAGCACCTTCTCACTTCAGGCGCTGACAGCTTCACCTCACGGAGCCAGTGCGGCATCTTGATATTCTCACCCATGTGCATCAGAAAATGGGAATCACATTATTTGGGAAAAAATGTAATCCACTAGGGAGTCAGTTTTTCAAAAGCCCTTGGCCATCACATGGAATCTGATACCAAGGCAAAATATATTGACGCAATGAAAACTACACTTGTACTTTCACGTACATTTTGTCAAGTTTGTAAAAAATTCAGCTTTTTTAAAAAAATATTCAAAATGTAAGGTTTTTTGATAAAATACTTTATACAATCAATTCTAAAGGTATCAAATAAATAATTTAACATGTTTTCAAAGAAAAATGATCCAAGTAGATCTGTGTAGATGCAAACATATTCTTTAACAGACTGCACAGAAAATTATGAAAGTTATGAGGTGAAAATTAACATCATGCAAGATTTAAGATTCTAAGGATTTCCACAGAGTGCTCACACATACAAGAGAATTTTTGCAATAAACCTCTAGCTAAAGTATTTAATGTGCTTATAGTGTCGACCTGTCTCAGTTGAAAGTACTCTCGCCTCTGAGGCAGACCGTTGTTAGCTCAGGCAGTAAATCAGGACTTTGCCACCCTAATGTTATGCTGGAGGAGCACTGCATTATCAGAAGTGGTGCCCTCCAAAAATACATTAAACTATGGTCTTGTCTGCCTGTTTGGTGGATGTTAAAAATACCAAAACACTATTAAAAAAAAACGAGATACTCCTTGTGTGCTGGCCAACATTCCTCCAGATAAAAACTGGAGGATTTTCACTTCACAGCTGCGTGAAAATTGGCTACCCCGCTCATGTACAACACACAGTCACTTTAAAGAAGTTTGTAAAATTTGGATTATTATTATTAATGCTGTTAATTAACTAATTTATCGGATTTGCCAATAAATTTAATTATTTATTCTGCCTGTAACTGAATTGCTGATACTGTATCAATATTTCAAACTGATTTTATAAATAAAACTTGCACTCAATGAAATTTCTGTTTTACCTGCCCCAGGCAGCCTTTGCCACAGATAGGGTTTTTATAGGAACACACGATGATTCAGTAACATTGGAACCTTCAAGTTTATAGCAGAAGCCACATTTTTCATCTAACATACAACTGTCGCAAAAACTGCAAATAGAAACAAAATGACAATGTTAGATGATTAAACAACACATTGCATTTATATTGCCTTTCACGTCGGGAGGATTTCCCGCGGCGCTGGATAGTCGAGGATTTGCAACCGAGCTGGGGATTGGATTTGGGAAGGGTGGGGGCCATGGATAATGGGGGTGGGGAGGGGGAAGATGACCAAAGGTGCGGTCAAAGTGGAAGATCTTGTGACGGACATTGAAAGAACGGCAAGCCGATGGGACTCCGTGATGGAGTTCCAGAGAATGGAGGCAGAAAAGCTGAAGGCCCAACTGCGGATGGTAGGGCGGGCAGGCCAGTGCCAAAACTAATTAAAATTAATATACCTACAAATACTGACTTCTGTTGATGTCAAAAGTACCAGGATTTTGAGCAGTAGCAATATATGCCTGCTATTTGCACCAATTTGGCACAGCAGTATGGACTGAACCTCTTATCAATCTGAAAATAATGAACTTATCAGGTTCATTATATATTTTAGTTGCAGGTCTATACATTAATGTAGAGAATAAGTCCAATTCAAAACATTATTTACAATATTTATTTTGCAAATTTCAATCACCCATGAATGTCACTTAATCAAAGACACAAAAAACTTTATATTGCTATAACTACAGTAATTGTTGCACATCATCTGTCCATATTACGATAAACTATGATTCAAATTTAATTGGTATGCTGCTTTGCATCATACAGGTAATTACATGCGGTTGCACATTTAACCATGTACATGCACTTCCAAGTTTACCAAAGAGCTGTTGGAACCAGTTGTAACATTTTTGTGGCTCTTATCATAAGTTTAACAACAATCAGAGTTCACTTAGAAGTTTGTGTATGGTGAAGGTTGATATGCATACATATTTTGGGAAGATATCCAAATACTGAATGGAAGATTTCATACACAGAAAAATCAGATTAAAAAGACTGCATTCGTAAGTGAGGTGAGTGGGAACAATTTATAGGAGATCTGAGAGTCAGGAAAATAATGCTCCATGTTTGGAAAGATGCAGAAATGATAGTTGGACATGGTAATACCAATACTGAAATGTTTCATATGAGCTAATAAAGTGCAAAAATTAAGTGACAGCAAAAGACAACTATAAGCTTTTAAAATTTAATGTAGCATTTAACACAATAAAAAAAACTCACTTGTACTGAGTGCAGCTCACATTTTGACCTGACGGATCGACTGGGTGCAGTGTCACACGTGGTGCAGCCTGGGCTGACAGCCAAAAACCAAGCCCTAAAATTACAAGGCTCAATGCTGTGCCTGCAAAAATCCATTCAGAAGTCCTCCATATAATGTTTAAGACAAAGGGAGAAGGGCAGTTGCATTATTATCTCACACAAATATCACATAACCCCAAGCAACATGCACCTTTATATTTCCTACCTGGAAGATGGAAGTAGAATGTTGCATTTGATCTTCTCATGTTTATCAAATAATTTGTAAATTGTAAAATAGGTTATGAGATGTTCACATACATCATATGCATAATTGACATGAAAAGTTTCAGAAACCAACAAAATACACTTGCAATACAGAGAAATTATTTCCTTGTACTGAGATATTAACATCAGGCGATATCTATCTAGGATATGTTCTAAAATAAAATTAAAATCACAATTTCAAACACACTGCATATGTTAACATGCAACTGATTTCTGACTCCAAAACCAATCAGAGATTTTGTTGAAATTGTTTTCATTTCAACTCCTATTTGTACATGCAAAAATAGCTTCTAATTGTAGGTACAATTGTAGCATCAAAGAATTGGGTACATTAGGGTTTGTGAAATTCTGCAGGAAATGCAGATAAGCTGGGCCAATGGAAAAGTGCAGAATCCGCTACAAACACCCACTCCGCTACACACCTGTACACAGTGTGCTCGGCCCCACTACACACCTGTACACAGTGTGCTCGGCCCCGCTACACACCTGTACAGAATGTGCTCGGCCCCGCTACACATCTATACACAGTGTGCTCGGCCCCGATACACACCTGTACACAGTGTGCTCGGCCCCGCTACACACCTATACACAGTGTGCTCGGCCCCGCTACACACCTGTACACAGTGTGCTCGGCCCCGCTACACACCTGTACACAGTGTGCTCGGCCCCGCTACACACCTGTACACAGTGTGCTCGGCCACGCTACACATCTATACACAGTGTGCTCGGCCCCGATACACACCTATACACAGTGTGCAAGGGCCTGGCTACACACCTGTACAGAATGTGCTCGGCCCCGCTACACACCTGTATACAGTGTGCTCGGCCCCGCTACACACCTGTACACAGTGTGCTCGGCCCAACTACACACCTATACACAGTGTGCTCGGCCCCGCTACACACCTGTACACAGTGTGCTCGGCCCCGATACACACCTATACACAGTGTGCAAGGGCCTGGCTACACACCTGTACAGAATGTGCTCGGCCCCGCTACACACCTATACACAGTGTGCTCGGCCACGCTACACACCTGTACACAGTGTGCTTGGCCCAACTACACACCTATACACAGTGTGCTCGGCCCCGCTACACACCTGTACACAGTGTGCTCGGCCACGCTACACACCTGTACACAGTGTGCTTGGCCCAACTACACACCTATACACAGTGTGCTCGGCCCCGCTACACACCTATACACAGTGTGCTCGGCCACGCTACACACCTGTACACAGTGCGCTCGGCCCAACTACACACCTATACACAGTGTGCTCGGCCCCGCTACACACCTGTACACAGTGTGCTCAGCCCCGCTACACACCTGTATACAGTGTGCTCGGCCCCGCTACACACCTGTACACAGTGTGCTCGGCCCCGCTACACACCTGTACACAGTGTGCTCGGCCCCGCTACACACCTGTACACAGTGTGCTCGGCCCCGCTACACACCTGTACACAGTGTGCTCGGCCCCGCTACACACCTGTACAGAATGTGCTCGGCCCCGCTACACACCTGTACATAGCGTGCTCGGCCCCGCTACACACCTGTACAGAATGTGCTCGGCCCCGCTACACACCTGTACATGTGCTCGGCCCCGCTACACACCTGTACAGAATGTGCTCGGCCCCGCTACACACCTGTACACAGTGTGCTCGGCCCCGCTACACACCTGTACATAGTGTGCAAGGGCCCACTACACACCTGTACACAGTGTGCTCGGCTCCAGACCTGTTGTGCTGTTTGCTCGCTACAGTAGGCAGAGTGGCTCTGTTTGCACATGTGCGACATGGGCAATGTTGGGATTGTGGAAGCAGTGCGAGCGGGAAATCGGCTAAGCCCAGCACTGCCGCCTAAACTGAGCTCCTGCGCCAAATTCTTGGTAAGTGCTGTGCTGTTCAACTTAACATTTTTAGTATTTTAAACATAACTGCATGTTCAGGAAACAGATGCCTATAATTTTAATGTGGGTTGTTTCTGGGTTGTTTTTCTCAATAGCACCAACCAATAAAAAACTATGCAACTTTCTGCAAAATTTACCAAATTTCGCCCCAATTTTTCACATGAGTCTATCTTGTTCAAACCACATTCAGGTAATGCATGCAGTTCTGGTAGCTGTGTTAATAAGGGACTGCCTAGGCTATAGAGGCAGTGCAGAGGAAAGCAATAAAACTGAGTGTTAAGAGGAATGAGCAAAAACAACTTTCATTTATATGGAAGAAGTGTGAATATATTTAAGCTTGATGCATAAAGGGGGACGGGGTATCGTACAGATGAATGTGGAGTTCAAATAATGACAAGTTGGGCTGAATGTCCTGTTGCATTACCATTCCTTTCAATTTAAACAAAAACGCAATTACCACCTTGGTTTAATAAGTGCAATTTCTTGTCTAACCTATGATAATGTGCCCCACAAGTTCTACAAATTAAACAACTAGCATTTACATAGCGCTCTTCACATGGGGTAGTATCTCGGAGCATTTAACAGTGGCAAAGCTTAACACTAAGTTGGGGAGAGGTGACCGAAGAGGAAGTTCTTCAGGTATTATCTGAAGATGGGCAAGAAGGAGGGATTGAGGCAAAGAGTTCCATAGTTTAGGGGTTTAGTAGCTGAAAACATGGCTGGCGACGGTGGAGAGGAGAGGATGCAGGAGGCCAGAGACAGCTGAGCCAAGGTGGTGGGTAGTGGAGTGGGGTGCAACAACAGCTTGCACATAGAGCACGCACTCTCTCCTGCCCTCTGCGCAGGGTAGCATTTCAGAGCGCTTAACAGTGGCAGAGCATGACTCTGAGCCGGGGTGAGGGAGATGACCGTAAGCAAGGTTGAAGAGGAAAGTTGAAAGAGGCAGGAGAGGGACTTGAAAGAGGAGGGGGCTAGGAGGAGGTATTGTGGGAGAATGTTCCAGAGTTTTGGGGCATAGTGGCTAAAAGCCCGACCTCCAATGGTGGGCTGTGGAGGGTGCTAGGTACGAGCAGGAGACTGGTGCCAGTCGAGCGGAGGCACTGGGTGATGAATTGGGGAGTGAGGAGGTTGGAGAGGTAGGGAGGTGCCAGGGAGTGAATGGATTTAAACATGAGTGTGACGATCTTGAAGTCGATCCATTTGGTGATGGGGAGCCAGTGGAGCCTGGGCCAGAACTGCTGAGATGTTTGGTCTGGCTGAGCATGCAGGCGGCAGAGTTCTGAATGAGCTGGATCTTTTGAATGGTGGAGCTGGGGAGATCGGCGAGGAATGTGTTGAAGTAATCCAAGCGCGAGGTGACAAACAAATGCCCGGGGGTTTCGGCTGCATTTGGTGTAAGGAGGCAGGCAATGTGATCTTTTGTCATGAATTAATGTTACCCACCTGCTAAACTCCCCAGCGTGAGCATTCTGCGTCCTATCTTCTCAACTAGCCAAACTCCAGCCAATGTAAAAATAAAGTTTGTGAATGCTGTAACAGCTGCCAACCAGATTGATAATCTGTCATTTCGCATTCCCGACATTTGCAGTATAGTGGCACTGTAGTACCTGAAGGTTATAAATGGAAGAAAGAGGTTATCAACAGATTCCCAATAGCAATCACATGAACCTTCAGGTAAAAGTATTATCTAACAGTATTACAGCAACACTACCTCAACCCTTGAATTTGCAACAGCATCTTTAAGTCGGGAAGACATCTCAAAGTGCCTCAGATGGATTACTATAAAGTGATTTACTGTACTGTCTTGGTACATCCTAATGAATTGTTTTGGGTTTATTTATTCAATCCATTCAAAATATTAGATACTTTTATAAAGTACTCCTTGAACCGTCTCCTTTCAAAACTGAAGAGCTACAGCTCATCAAATTCATTGCTCTAATGCCTTTTGTAAACCGCTTTCCGGGATTTAGTGTAAAGTGTACCAACTGTATCTTGCACTTAAAAGAGAAAGCCAATTTGCACACAGCAGGGTCAAACAGCCTGTGAAGTATTGTGAGACATCCTCCCGACATAAAAGCCATTATATCAAATGCAAGATTTGACAATGCATTGCTGCCCAGTACTGTAATGGAATATCAATCTCGACTATTTGAGTTTCAAGTTCCAAAGTGGGGCTTGAACCATCAGCCATCTGAAGCTCAGAGGTGAGAGTGCTACCAACTAATCTATACCGGCACTAAACTTTACTGTAAATTCTGTGAAACATTTTCCCGATGTGAAAGCCACTATGTCAAACGCGAAGATGTTAATAATTATTTCTCTGTCCGTTTCATCTGGCTGGTATACAGTAGCGACTTGGTAACAATATGCTAAAGTTTCCTCCTCACAGAGACAGGTGAAGTGGCATCTGCATAGTACCTTTTGCTCATAGTAAAGATTAGGAACAAAGCAAGTAAGGAGAATGAACTTCATCTTCCCACTGATGATCAAACCAACTATACTGCTTGATATTTCTGATTGGACAGCAGATGCGCCTTTCAAAAATGAAAATCAATATAAAATATTTACATAGAAGAAGTCTTTTTTTAAATTCATTTGGGGAGTTGTCAAAGTTCTAGGAGAGTTACCAGCTTGTCTACATGTTCCCTTCTAGCCTTTTCTATCTTCACCTAAACACAGTCACTATATTTTATAGCAAATCCTATGAAGCACTTCCTGTGAGATAACATGATGATATAAGGTGCTATATCAAATTAAATTATCACTATTATCTGTGATAATTGCATTTTATGTAGTACCTTATATCATCACATTGTCTCCCAGGAAGTTGCTGATTGTTTTTCAATATTTTACTGGAGGGAGGGAGGGCTGACTACATCATTAGCAGATTAATATGGAGGAGCAATGTAACTCAGCAGATTGAAATGGATAAATTACATTAGAATACATAGCCCAACTGATCTTTGCCAGTGTTTATGCTCCACACGAGCCTCCTCCTGCCCTTCCTAAACTAAGCCTTCAAGCATAACCTTCTATTCCTTTCTCCCTTATGTAACTTTCCCTTAAATACATCTATGCTATTTGCCTCAACAACTCCTTGTGCTAGCATGTTCCACATTCCCACTACTCTCTGTCTGAAGAAATTTCTTCTAACTACCCAATTTGATCTATTTGTGACTATTTTATATTGATGGCCCCTGGTTTTGGACTCCCCCACAAGTGGAAACATCTTCCTTATGTCTACCCTATCAAAACCTTTCATCATTTTAAAAATCTCTATTACCCCTTACTCTCCTCTTTTCAAGAGAAAATAGTCCATTTTTTGGTCAGCCTTTCCTGATAGGTATAACTTCTCAGTTCTGGGATCATTCTTGTGAATTCTAAGTGTGGTCTTACCAAAGTTCTATAGAAGTTTATCATAAATTCCGTTTTTCATTTCTATCCCTCTAGAATGAACCCCAATGCCTGGGTTGCCTTTTTTATGGCATTAATAACCTGAGTTGCTACTTTTAGTGAAATGTGTATGTGTACCCCGACAACAACAACAACAAGATTTCATTTATAGAGCGCCTTTCACATCGGGAGGACTTCCCAAGGCACTGGACAGTTGGGTCAGGAGCCCGAGGAGGGGGAAAATGGTCAGGGTGAGGGAAGGGAGGGAGCGAGGAGGGGGTAGAGAGTCGAGAGGGGAGCTGAAGGCACCGTCAAAGAGAAAGGTCTTGAGACCGGCCTTGAAGGAGGAAAGGGAGGAGGCGGCGAAGGCACCGGGGGATGGAGTTCCAGAGCCTGGGGGCTGAGAGGCTGAAGGCCCGGCCACCGATGGTAGGGCGGTTGGGGCGGGGGATGTGGAGCAGACCGGAGCCAGAATGTGGAGCAGATCGGACCCTAGATGCCTTTGCTCCTCTAGCCAATTTAGGTTTTTATTTTCCAGGATGTATGTGACTTCCTTATTCCTTCTACCAAAAAGTACCACCTCACACTTTTCTACTTTGAAATGCATTTGCCATTTAAATGCCTATTCAGGAAGTTTATTAATGTCTTGCTGTAAATTGTTGCAGTCCTCCTCTGTATTAACTGCTCCCCCCAATTTGGTGTCGTCTTCAAATTTTTAAATTGTATTGCTGATTCCCAAGTCCGAATCATTAATGTATATTGTGAACAACAATGGTCCCAATACTGATCCTTGTGGAACACCACTGCCCACCCCCCGCCAGTCTGACTCTTTACCCCTGCACTCTGTTTTCTGTTTTGAGCTAGCTTGCTATCCATTCTGCTATTTTTCCCCTGACTCCACATGCTCTGACTGGTTTTATTTCTAGAAACTAAATTATTATCTTCCATCATAGAAATTCAAGCACCATTGGTCAATAACCATTTTCATAAATGTCAATTCTACACCACACATGCACTCATGCTGATACGTGCATTCTATAGGATCACAGGACAGATAGGAAATTCTATTAACATGAAAGTATTATCACCTCAATTCCACTTATTCTGTGTTTTCATTGATTCCCACTTTTGCTGCTATAGTTACACATGATATATATACAGCAATTAAAAAGATGAATGTCTGTACAGAACTTATAGAAATGTGCATTATTATTGAATTATTCAGTGAAAAAAATTAGAGTAACACAGCATCGAAAGTACAAGACAAATCCTCAAACGTTTTCACCAAATTAATTGTTGAATCATTTCAAACCCCCCTGAAGAATGTAATGCACCATCAGATTGACAAAGCAATCATAATGCACAAAATGTGACAGTACTGGTTTTATTTCTAGAGACTAAATTATTGTGAAATGTCACTTCATTGTATAAGACATTTCAGTCAATTTTCATAACAGATTTCAACCATGTACTGGTATTTTCAATATGACAACCTTCATAATTAACAAGACTTTATTAAATGGTGGAGTCCTGTAGCTCAGTGGTTAGAGCACTTGCCTTGCAAGCAAGAGACCTGGGTTTGATTCCTGGCAGGGTGAAACCTTGGGCAAGTTTCCTTACTCCACACGCCTGATAATAATCCCTCAAGAAAAAAAAAATAATTTGGTTACTCAATCCACGACTGTTTGTGGGACACTGCTGCGTGCAACTGGCTGCTTCGTTTAGTCCACAAATATACAGTCAATTCACTTTATAGTATATTCTGTGAAGCGCTTTGAGACGTCTGGAAGACGTGAAAAGCTCTATATTAAATGCAAGGATTATTATTATTATTAAATTGATTCAGTGGCTCATTGCCATGAATATCTCAAACGTTTTTAGTTGGGTTTGTTGCTGTGCACTTCTAAGTATCTTAATATCTATGGACTTTCATGAAAGATAATCATGATTAAATCAGTAGGCTCTTCGACCCTATGGTCCCGCCCTTTCCCCACTCCCCTGCTTGGTGTCTGATCCCATCTTTGTAAAGCACTTCAAGACATTATCCTACATAAAGGGTGCTTCTGTAACTGCAAATTGTTCTTGAATCCCCAAATCATTCTAATTACTGTAGATGATGTTTCTCCAGCTTACTCCATTTCCATCGACTCAGCTGTTTGTCAATGCACTGCACATTACTCACCTCCTCCATTATTCAACCCAATTCACATTTTCTTTGAAAACCACCTCCTCAGCTAAGATATATCTCTAACAGTTTTTCCCTGCTGACAGCATCTTGGACAATTGAACATTAAACAATTCTAAGATATATGGTTCAATCAGAAACTGGCTTTTTGTTTAAAACTAGTGTTTTCTCAGGAAACAGACTGACATTAGTCTGCATTGACTGCTCCGACTTGTAATTTAGGAGGAAATATCTCTAATTTGAACAGCATCATAGCCATACTGTGTTTTTAAAAAAAAACTTTGAAGAGATGAGTCATCGGAGAAAAAATAGTCCTCAGCAAAAGGAGAGGATGTCATACTCCTTACCTTTATTGCCCTATTTTCTGTATTAATGTGGTACCTTTAAACTAAAAAGTCATAGAATCATAGAATATTACAGCACAGAATGAGGCCATACAACCTATCGTGCCTGTGCTGGCTCTTTGGAAGAGCTAGTCAGTCCCACTCCCCCACTTGTTCCCCAGAAACTTACACATTTTTCCTTTCAAGTACCTATGTAATTCCCTTTTGAAAGCTGTTATTGAATCAGTTTTCACCACCCTTTCAGGCAGTGCATTCCAGACCGTAACAACTCTCTGTGTAAAAAAAAAATCCTCATCTCCCCTCTGCTTTTTTTGCCAATCATCTTAAATCTATGTGCCCTGGTTACTGATCCACCCGCCAGTGGAAACAGTTTCTACCTATCGGCTCTATAAAACCCCTCATAATTTTGAACACCTCTATTAAATCTCCCTTTAACCTTCGCTGCTCTAAGGAGAACAACCCCAGCTTATCCAGTCCCTCCACATAACTAAAGTCCCTCATCCCTGGTTAGTTCTGCTGTAGAGATGGCCCCAAAAATTTGAACCACTCTTAAGCTTTTTAATATTGCTAAAACGTTGATGCAGTTCAATTATATATAAAACACATTTAATGCAATAAACAAAACTTTTCACACTACTGTATATACAAATGGCTTTATAGAAGCAATAGACAGGCAAAACTAAGC